AGAATCGATGCCTTTGAGTTGTGGTGCTGGAGAAGAGTGTTGAATATACCTTGGACTGCTAGGAAAACAAACAGTTCTGTCCTGGATAGGATAAAAGTTTGTTCCCTGGAGGCAAGTATTTGAAGCTCTGTCTCACATACTTTGGGTATAGGGCCAGGAGGGACCAGTCCTTGGAGAGGGACATGTGTGGAAGGGTGGAAGGACAGTGCCAGAGAGGAAGATCCAGGATGACATGGATTTATTGACCTGGTGACTTAAATAAACAATGGGAATAGGTCTGTCAAAGACAATGAGATTGGATCAGCATAAGGATCTTTCAGAGCTTGTGTACATAGGGTTGCTATGAGTTGCAGGTGACTCAATGGTGACTATATGTACATATAACAACAATAAGATTAAGAGCAGACAATTTATAAAACATCTCAGGTCAACGTAGTCCCAAATGCTTAACCAGCTGTATAAGTCTGTAATTTCTAACACTACCAGCTCCATCCATGGCTCAGCTCTCTAATCTCTCTGTGGCCTTTGGTGTTGATGTTTCACTTGAAAGTCTTATAAGGACTCAGGCCTGTCAGATGGGTGACTCATGGGACCATAGGTATGCAAGCTGATTTTGGAGACACTGATGTGTGATGGGCCAGAATCCTATAGGCTGTTCCACAGCTGGATGTCAACTGTCAGTGATGCAGGTTGGTGGTGCAGAGAATGGTGAGCAATGGGCCAGGATCCTGAAGACTGTCAGTTGTGGGACAACTGGAGAGTGACCGTGGGTGATGCAGGCTGGATGTTGTGTCCAGGGCAAGCGGTCCAAGAGAAAGCATCTAGCCCGAAGGTCCCATGAGCTTATAGAAGCCTCTAGTAAGGGGGCTTGTATCCATCCTAATCCTCTCTCCTTAATACAATAATTACTTTAGCACAAAATAAACAGTTGATGATAGGCTAGGAAGATATCCGAATGATAAATTTTAGACACCCAAAGTCAGTTTGTCATAGCATACATTATACTGTGATTCTGGAAGCTACACCAACAGTATCACTCATGGTGAGCAGCTTTCAGTGAAGCTTCCATACTAAGGCAGAATAAGAAATAGGACTGGGCCTCCGCTTTTGAAATTTTAAAATAATGCCTGTTGGAGCCTTATGAATAGCAGCAGAACACTGTCTGATATAATGCTGGAAGCACTCAAGATACTAGCAGAGAAAAACATCATCAGAGTAAGACAGGGTTCAAATCTGTTGTTCATAGGGTTGCTATGAGTCATACTTGACTCAATGGCACCTGACAACAGAGTAGAATCTAATGGTATGAGTACAAAAAATATTTCATCCAATGAAAAATCTTCATCTATTGATGAGACATGACTCAAAATGACAAGAAACAGCTGCAAACATCTATTAACATGTGGAAAGTTGAATGTACAAAAGAAGGATCTAGGAAAGTTGGAAGTTGTAATAAAAAAATGAAACAGACTGTGTAAAGATAGACATTCTAGATATTGCTGTCATTACATGCCATCAAGTTGAGTGTGACCCTGTAAACAATAGATCTGGACCTTACTGTATCCTGTGCCATCCTGATCATCCCTGATATCTTTGATTTGAGCTTATTGCTACAATCACTGTGTTGAGCCATTTCTCTGAGGATATTCCTCTCTTTCGCTGACCCTCTACATTTCAAGTATGATGTCTTTCTCCGAGGACTGGCCTCACCAAACAACATGCCCAAATTATGTGAGACAAAGCTTCACCATCTTATCCTCTAAGGAGCACCCTGGTTGCACTATCTCCAAGACAGACTTGTTTCTTTTCTTGCCAATCCATGGGATATTTAGTACTCTTGACCAATACCACAACATTGATTCTTCTCCTAGATATTAGTGAGCTGAAATGGACTGAAATGTTGAATCAGACAACCATTAGGTCTGTTCTTATGAGAAAGACAAATTAAAGAGCAATGATGTAACATTTACCATAAAAAACAATTTAAAAATCTGTCCTAAAGTACAATTTTGTCAGTGATAGAATAATATTCATATGTATATGGGAAACCTGTTGACATGACTGTTATTCAAATATACTCGCCAAGCCATAAAGCCAAAGTTTAAGAAATCTACTAACTTCTGCAGTTTGAAATTGATTGAACATACAGTCACATGCATTGATAGACAGCAGTCAAGAAATTGCGAGATGGATTGCAGCTAGGAACCTCTCCAAATTATTGAAACTACAGAACAATCTCACTGATTTCATATGCAAGCAAGATTTTACTGAAGATTATCCAAAAACGACTGGAACAGCACATCAACAGAGAACTACCAGAAGTCCAGGCTGGTTTCAGAAGGGGTCGTGGTACTAGAGATATTGTAGCTGATGTTAGATGGATCTTGGCTGAAAGCAGGGAATACCAGAGGAATGTCTATCTGTGTTTCATTGACTATGCAAAGGCATTTGACAGTGTGGATCATAACAAACTGTGGCCGACTCTGAGAAAAACTGGAATATCAGGACACTTGATCGTGCTAATGCGAAAACTATACTTGGACCAGGAGGCAGTCATCAGAACAGAGCAAGGGAACACTGCATGGTTCAAAATTGGGAAGGGCGTACACCACGGATGCATCCTATCTCCATACCTTTTCAACCTATATGCAGAACAGATTATCCGGGAGGCTGGGCTCTATGAGGAGAAATGTGAGGTGAAGATTGGGGGATGATCTATCAACAATCTGTGTTATGCAGATGACACAACCCTGCTTGCTGAAACTGAAGAGGACCTGAAGCGCCTGCTGCAGAGTGTCAAGGACTGCAGCCTACAATATGGATTGAGGCTCAATGTCAAGAAGACAAAGATTCTCACCACTGAACCAATTGGCAGCATCAGGATGGATGGTGAAGAGATTGAGATTGTACACAGCTTTAGTTTGCTTGGCTCCACAGTCAACAGTCTTGGCACCAGCAGCCAGGAAATTAAAAGGCGCATTGCCATGGGAAAGTCTGCTGTTAGGGACCTCTCCAAAGTACTGAAGAGCAATGGTATCTCTTTGGAGACTAAGGTGCGTCTGATACAGGCCATGGTCTTCGCAATCACCTGTTATGCATCAGAGAGTTGGACAATGACCAAGGAGGATAGAAGGAGAATTGATGCCTTTGAGCTGTGGTGCTGGAGAAGAGTATTGAGAGTACCATGGACTGCTAGGAAAACAAACAGATTTGTCTTGGAAAGGGTTAAACTGGGTGGCTCCTTGGAGGCAAGGATTCTGAGGCTCCGTCTAACATACTTTGGACATGTTGTGAGGAGAGACCAGTCCTTAGAGAGGGACATCATGCTTGGGAGGGTGGAGGGACAGCGCAGGAGAGGAAGACCCTCTATTAGGTGGATTGACTCAGTGACTGGGATAATTGGGATGGGAGTGTCAGAGACAGTGCGATTGGCACAGGACAGAGCGGAGTTTAGGGCTGTTGTACATAGGGTCGCTATGAGTCGCAGGCGACTCCATGGCACATAACAACAACAACAACAACAATGATGTCCGTTTGGGGACAAATTGATTTTTCTGATCACTTGCTATGCATCTGAGAGCTGGAAAATGAATAAGAATGATAGAAGAAGAATTGACGCTTTTGAGCTGTGGTGTTGAAGAGTACTGAACATGTTACGGACATGCCTTGGAGAAAGAGTAGCCAGAGTGCTCTTTGGAGGCAAAGTTGATAAAGCTTCATCTCATACTCTTTGGGCATGTTGCTAGAAGGGGTAATCCTTGGAGAGGTATATAATATTTGGAAAGGCAGAGGGTCAGTAAAGAAGAAGACCCTCAACCAGGCGGATTGACACAGTGACTGTTGCAATGGGCTCTACTGTGTCAGGAAGTGTGAGGATAGCGTGGGATAGGACAGAATTCAGATCTGTTGTTCATAGAGACGCTATGAGCCATTCTCAACAGCACCTAACAACAGCAGTGATTTAAATGCAAAAGTTGGAATTTTGTATGACCAATGACTTGCTAATTTTAAATATCGTACCCACCGAGAGATGACACGCACCCGCAGGTCGCCCGCACACAAGATGACGTGCGCCTGCCAGGGTCCGTATAGGAGATGATACTAGGGAGATGTCTCGCGCCCACCAGCCACCCGCATGGAAGATAGCATGCGCCCGGCGGCCACCCATACAAAGAGATGGCGCATGCCCGCCAGTCGCCTGTGTGGGGGATGGCGCACACCTGCTGGCCCACTGGTTGCCTGCGCATGAGATGACACGAGCACTCCGAGAGATGATGCGCACCTGCCAAGAGATGATGCGAGCCCTCCGGTCCCCACACGCAAGATGATGTGTGCCTGCCAGCTGCCTGCGCTGGGGGATGACGTGCACCTACCCCCACCGGCTGCCTGTGCATGAGATGACGCCCGCCCGCCAAGAGAGGACACGCGCTCACTGGTCACCCACACATGAGATGATATGTGCCCGCGTGGGAGATGACATACGGGAGATGGCGAGCGCCTACCAGTCACCTGCGCTGGGGGATGGTGCGCGCCTGCCAGCCACCAGCACAGAAGAGACGACGCACGCCCCGCCGCCCGTGGGGGGGACGTGTGCCCCACTACTTGCAGGTTTAATTTCCTTGGAAAACCAGAGAAGATGATCACCTATACAGTGGATTGTTGAAAGTCACTGTGAATTGTCTACTTGATGACACTTAACAGTGGCAGCATGTCCAAGAGGACCAACATCCTAAATGCACCACATATTTTGATCTGTTGAATGCTTCTGCCAAAAGATGTTTAGACCTGGGGGTAGCCTGTTCACAATTTTTAGGTTCCCTTTGCCATTTATAAAGGGGGAGGGAAGTGACACCTACTTCAAATTATGACTACTTACGGAGGGGGTGGTAAAAGTGGTGGTGCTGGAATTGGAGATGCTGTCCCTGGCCACACACTCCTCGGTCAGGTGAGGGGACCAGATTAGTGTGAGGGCAATTAGAGGGGAATGTACCAGCCAGCCCATGGGGGTATTGCCCTGCTCGGGATGGGTTGTCTTCAGCCCTCAGCTCGGGGCGAGCTGTCCTCAGCCCTCGGCTCGGGGCGAGCTGTCCTCAGCCCTCGGCTCAGGGCGAGCCGTCACGGCCTTCTGCCCGGGGCAGGCTGTCCTCGGCCCTTGGCCTGGGATGGGCTGTCCTCAGCCCTCGGCTCTGGGTGAGCCGTCACGGCCCTCTGCCCAGGATGGGCTGTCCTCGGCCCTCGGCTCGGGGCAAGCAGTCATTCCTCGGCTTGGGGCGAGCCGTCATGGCCCTCAGGGTGAGCTCCTCAGTCCCCAGATTGTGCCATCTGACCCCTAGGTAGGAAAAAAAATGCCTAGGATATCCAGAGACTTTTATTTAGGCTACTTTCTGCCACCCTCTCCCCCAGTAAACCTGAAAGCAACACCCCCCAAACCCCTCTATTTGTAACTCACAAGTTTGTTCTCTCTAGGTTTGCTCCATTTCCTACAGGTAACCTTACCACTGAGTTTTACTTCAGACCTGACCCTGAACCCAGTGCCAGTGAGAAAAAGGAAATACAACTGCCAGCTAAAGAAGCAAAGGAGGATGGAGCCTCTGGGTTCAACCAGCCATCCCCACTGGACCCACCTGGGAAAACACTTTGCAGTCCAGAGGGGAGCAAATGACAGGAAATATATCTTCTAACAGAACAAGAAGGCAAGCAGCCTTAACCCAAGATCACCAGTAAGGTGATAAAGTGTCCTCCCTTTCCCCCTTCACATCAACGCCCCTGTTCAGCATGAAGAAGCCAGAGAGTCGGTATCCAGTTCCCAAATCAGTAAAACAGTTGATTTAACTACCACTGGAAAATGCTTGTCATTTTCCTGTAGCATCTGGTCCCCACTGGATCACTTTAATTTCCTTCACCTGCTCCTCCACCAACCAATTTCTGCAGCTCTGCAACTGCACCTCCTGCCCATCCTCACCCTTCTGCCCCCAACCCTCACCTCCTTGTACCCCCAATTTGTTTTTTCCCAATAAAAAAAAGAAAAACAAAAAACCAAATAGCGACTATGTATATAAACCTTGTTTGATGGAATACACAGGAATCAATTTGACTAAATCTGTACAAAGAGATGGTGGAGAAGTTTAGCATATCAGTCAGAATAAGGCCAATGGCTGAATGTGGAGCAGATCATCAACTGCTTATACACAAGTTCAAACAGAAGCTGTAGGACATTTTTTAAGTTCATGAGAGCCAAAATATGCAAGAAATTACCCCAAGAATAAATTTGATGCATTGAAATACTAATGACCAGAGACCAGACAAGTTGTCGGATGGCATCATGAAAGTATGAAGAAAGCACAAGGCCATAAAAATGACAGGCACAAATAAATGTTAGAAGAGACTAAAACTTGTTTTTCATGTAAAGAAGCCAAAATGAAGAGAAGACATAATGTAGGAATCTGGACAGACGATTTCAAAAGGCAACTTGGAAAGAGTGTAATAATGTACATGTTTAGAATGAGCACAGTAAAGTATTATGGAATTCTCATTGTTCTCAATACTCAATGTTATTAATAATTTATTGTAATCCATATAGTCAAATACCTTCGTGTTATAATGAAATGTACAAAGACATGGAATTAGAAAACCAAATGAATTGAACATTCTTGGCATTTCTCAAGGTGAAAGAACTGAAGAAACTTCACGTTGCAATACTAAAAGGATACCTTGGACAAAATATTTAATGAAGCAGGAAGGTTCAAAAGAAGATGGAAGGAAAACAGAGTTACAGTATGTAAAAGAGTTGACTAATCCCTGAACAGTTTCAGGAAGTAGCATGTGATCAAGAACCAATGGTTTTGAAGGAAGAAGTTCAAACTGCACTGAAGACTTTGGACAAAAATAAGGCCTCAGTAATGGGATTATTAACTGATGTGTTTCAACAAACAGAGGCAGCCCTGAATGTGCTCATTCATCGATGCCTCCAAAGACATTTGGAAGATAACTTCCTCTTCAACCAATTAGAAGAGAACTATATTTGTAATAATTTTTTTTAGAGGTGATCTAACAGAATGCTGAAGATCATTTTAAAAATGACTAAAACGTTGCATACACAAGGGACTACCAGAAATTCAAGCTGGATTCAGAAGAGGCTAGAGAACAAGAAATACTGCTAATGTCAGATGTATCTTAGTTGAAAACAGAGAATACAAGAAATAATTAATAAGGTCTTATTAATGGAACCATTCAGATTTACTTGTGTTTTATTGACTGCACCAGCAGTCAGGAAATTGGGAAAATTCAGGATCTTTCCAGAATGCTAAAGAGCAGCAATGTCAGTCTAGAGAGTAAGGCATGCTTGATGAGTTACTTGCTATGTATCTGAGAGCTGGACCATGAATAAAAATGACTGAATAAGAATAAATGCCTTTGTGTTGTGGTGTTGGAGAAGAATCCACGAGTGGATAAGAGAACAAATAAATCTGTCCTGGAGAGGGTTGTTCCTTGGAGGCAAGAATTTTGAAGCTCTAACATATGTTGGACATGTTGTTATGAGTGACTAGTCCTTGGAGATTGATAGAAGGACACCATGCCTTAGAAGGGTAAAGGTTTAGTGCAGAAGAGGAAGAACCTGGATGAGATGAATTGACACAGTGACTGGAAGTGGGTTCAGATGTGTCAGAGATGGTAAGGTTGCCTAGGACAGGGCTATTGTTCATAGGATTGCTATGGGTCATGATTGACTTGATGGCACATGACAACAATAAGCACAAAAAAGCCTGGGACAAATGATGCCCTCCATCATTTTCAACATTAAGTAAATGAGAATCTTATGAGTACATTATTGTACTCATTCTGAGCTTGACTAAGAAGCACTTGTTCCTCAGTCAACTTTACTCCGCTGTGTACTTTTGTCTTTATAGTAATTCCATATTAATGGAACCATTCATATTACAGGTTTTTTTCCTTTTCAATTTATTTTTTTTTAAGTTTTTTTATACTGTTAACATTTTCTGGAGAGAACAAAGGTGGTGGCAGTTGAGGAAACAGTGTAAGGAGCTGGAGGAGCAGCAAGCTGCATAGAAACAGGCCACCAGAGAGACTGACAAGGCACACAGAGACTGATGTGGCATGACATGGACAGTAGGAATTTGATTCAGAACTTTTTTTAAAAAAATAAATTTTTTAAATTTTATTATTTTTGTGTGAGTGTACTTTCAAATCACATCTGACTGGTACAGGAGGAGATTGTCCCTCCTTCCCCGGCAGAGCATCTGGTGGATTCGAACCATGTGCCTCTGGGATTGTAGTTGCAGCTCCTTACCACTAGGCCACCAGAGCTCCCCTTGATTCAGAATTTTTATTAAAATAATTAGTTTGGGAGCCACAGGAGCAGTAAGTGGCTGACCCGGGCAGAAGCTGCCAGCCTAGCTGCTGTGGGACTCACCCACTAGGAGCAAGCAGGTCAGTGGGAAATTGAGTTTTCTTAAGCCCTGCCGACTGGCTAGGAGTGAGCAGGTTGGTGGAATTTTGACTGAGTTTTCTTAAGCCCCACCAGGTCAGTGGGAATATGACTGAGTTTTGTTAAGTCCCGCTGGACCCGGGGCTCCATTGGGCCAGGGGCCACTGGGCAAGGGCACCTTGGTGAGGGATGCTGAGCAAGGACCACTGAGCAAGAGATGCTGGGTGAGAGATGGACAGCTGGAATTTGAGTAGGGAGCCGAATCATGATCACACCTAGACAGCTAAACACTGAATGAGGTCCCTGCAAGTGGTAGACCTGCCCGCGTAGTTGCCCTCCCCCCTCCCCGTGCCTGCCCTGTCCCCCATTCCACTAACACCTGTGCCTCCAAGTCCAGTAAATCAATTTGCCTTTAATCTGGAGGACCTTGATCTGACTTAGCTACAAGAGGTTATTCTCACAGGCCCTGAACTGAACCCTCCCTTGAGTCAGAATTTCAGAGAGAAACTTAGGTGGGGTAGCTGCCCCACTGATTTCTAGAGAGTTGTTTCCAGATCAAGAACCTATCAATGTCATGAAAGAAGCAGGCTGTCATACACCCCACCCAAGCAAGTATCAAGATGCCACCTCAAAAAGGGGACACAGCATCAATGGATTTCCTGAAGCCAGAAAGTCTGATGGAACTTTCTGACACAGAATTTAAAAGAACAATGATTGAATATTTTCGATGGGTGAAAGACAAACTGAACGAATTGTATGATACTGCAAGCAAAAACCTGGGGGACATTAAAAAAACAATCCAAAACAATGCAGATAAAACAAATGCGGCATTAGCAGCACTGGAAAAACAAGAAACCACAATCCAAAATATGTGGTCTGATGTTTCAGATGCTGTCAACATGATGGAGGGACACATGAACAGAGTTGAAGAGATAGAATACAGAACGAGTGAAATAGAAAATAGAATTGTCCCCACTGATCTGCTAGAGCAAAAAGCAGAATCAAAAAGGAAGGAAAAAGAAGAAAACCTGAGAATAATGTGGGACACCATCAAGAGAAATAGCCTGCACATCATCAGAATCCAAGAAGAAGCAAGTAAAAGCACCTAAGAAGTTATGGAATAATTACTAGAAGAAAATATCCTAGGTATAATGAAGAGTGAGAGAATATATATTCAAGAAGTTGAGCAAACACCATGTAGAATAGACGCCAAAAAAAAAATACCAAAGTATATCGTAGTTAAATTTTCCAGAACCAAAGATAAGAAGAGAATTCTGAAAGCAGCGAGAGAGAAACAAAGTGTAACCTATAAGGGAGAGCAGGTAAGATTAAGTGCCAATATCTCAGCAGAAAGCAAGTGAGAAAGAAGACAGTGGAAGGACATATATCGAACACTCAAAGAACATAACTGTCAACCAAGAATACTGTACCCAGCAAAATTGTCTGTCAGATATTAAGGAGAGATCAAGATATCCTCAGAGAAACAGAACTTAAGGGAGTTTGTAAAACAAGACTAGCGTTGTGGAAAACACTGAGTGATGTCCTTACAGAGGTTCCACAGAAAACAGCATGGACCAAAGTAACTAGCAACAACTCCAAAAAGAACTCAATGAAATGATAGCAATAAAATGCTGCCTTTCAATTTTCACACTGAATGTGAATGGTTTGAATGCACCACTGAAGAGAAGAAGAGTAGCAGATTGGATAAAAAAAACCCTAAAATCCATCAATATGTTGTCTACAG